CCACCTCATTTTGCAGTGCCCTGTTCTTAGTAGTCCTGGTTTAGGAAGACTTGTGTTTCACATGATAAAGGTAGCCAAAACAATGAAAGTTGAGTTCACAGAGTATTTATTTTTGTTCCCTCACAGAGTATTTATTTATTTTTGTTCCCTCACATAATTCAGCACAATTAAATTCAGCAAATATTTATTGAACACTTGGAGATGATGAAGGAAAATGATGATGTGAACACCATGTTCACATGGTGTCATCTGGTACAATGGAAACGGCATGGGATTTGGACTGAACCAGAATTGTCTTAAATCCTGGCTTTATTAGTTTTAGGCATGTCATCTTGAGCAGTTGACTTCACTTTTTGAGCCACCATTTCTCTTCCTTAAATAAAGATATTATTTATAATAAAGATTGAAGGTGCTTGGCACACAAGTTCTGCCTTTAGCAGTTAGGAGTAAAATGTCTTCCATAGCCAAATTTTAGTCTCAATATTGTCCCATCAGCAGGAAAATAGCCACTCAGTTCCTTTGTTCTTTTAAGGCATCTAGTCTGTTTCCTATTAAAATGGTACTTAGTAAGGGGATTCTAAGTTTAGAAATTAATCAGAACCATTTTTCTAAGGTAAATGCAATTTGGCACATTGCCTCCATTAAAGGAGGCTTGTGCAAAAATGACACAGTCTCATTTTTTGGGGAGCCAGGCAGATTACACAGGGTGTAGGAAGGCAAAAGAGGAAATACACAAGGTGGATAAGCTAAGGTTGTGTGGGTAAAGCATCACTTAGTTCATCCGGTTCCATAGCTCGGAGGACCATGCCTTTAACCATAGATGGCATATTTAACAGGGCACCGAGACCCAAGAACCAGGGAGGGAAAACAGCCAGAAGGATGCTCCCCTGTCTTGTCCTCCACCCTGGGTCATATGGAAAGGAAGGAGACTAAAAGAACTCTCACATCTTTTTCTAGATGGGTAACAGGTTATCTTCAGCTTGCACCCCTCTGGAGTGCACTCTGAGACACTGGAACTTCTTTAACCTCAGGACTTCAAGAAGAAAAGCAACTCATTTTCTTTTGCACAAGTGCATGGCATTTTTACTAAACCTTTGCAAACATTGTAAGACCAACCCAACTCTTTTAACAATCATATCAGGCGGGCCCAAAAAAGAATAGTTCCCCCAAATTAGAGAAGTAACCTCCAGGGAAACTGTCTGAGGATTCCCATTACTTGGGGCCCCTTCAAGTTCCCTTCTCATTATAGGACCTTAGGCAAATGAAGAGAGACAGGCCAATTTTCTAATGACCCTGATAGGTATATAGAGGCTTTCCAAAATTTAACTCAGGTATTTCACCTCACAGGGAGGGATGTTATGCTGCTCCTAAACCCGACCCTCACAGCAGCGAACAAGCAGGCAGCTCTGCACGCAGCAGAGAATCTTGGAGATGATCAATATATCTGTTATAATACAGCAAAAGGGAAGAAAGCAGATAGGGAAAGTGAAGAAATAGCAAAAACTCCATTTCCAATTGGGAGAGAGGCAATTCTGGTTAACAACCCTAATTGGAACCCCAATAACTCAGAAGATAAATGGAAAAGGAAGTGCTTTTTAATATGCATGTCAGAAGGTCTATGGAAGACCAGGACCAACCGTCTCAATTACTCGAAACTGTCTATAATAGACCAGAAGTCAGATAAGAATTCTGTAGCCTTTATGGAAAGACTGAGAGAGGCTGTACTAGAACCCACCTCCTTATCCCCTAATTCAGTTGAGGGGCAGCTCACCCTGAAGGACAACTTTATTACACAGGTAGCTCCCAATATTAGAAGGAAAGTACAGAAGCAAGCTATAGGACCAGATAGCACCTTAGGGAGCCTCCTGAAGGTGGCCACTTCGGTCTTTTGTAATAGGGACTGGGGGAGGCCCAAAAGAAAGAAAGAAAGCTCAGGAGAAGGACAGAAGCTCTAGCAACAGCTTTGCAGGCTTGCAAGGTCCAGGATCCCCGAGGTGCATCCACTAGTTGCTATCAGTGTGGCAGGGCAGGGCATTTTAAGAAGGAATGCCCAGGCAGCAAGACGAAGCCAGCTGGACCCTGTCCAGCCTGTGGCGGAGATCACTGGAGATGGAACTGCCCCTAGAGGTGGAGGCCACTGCGTTCAGGACCACTCTCACAGATGGTCCAGCAGGACTGATGGGTTCTGGGGCTCAAATGCCAACTCCAGTGGCTCAAACTGCCATTACAGCACAGGAGCCCCGGGTGATTCTGGAAATTAAAGGAAGGAAAGCAGACCTCCTTCTAAACACTAGAGCCAGTCTCCTTTCTCTCCTCTAAATCCAGGCCTCCCCTCTTCCCATAGAACGACCGGAAGGGGCATCTCAGGAAAAACTCTATTCCAATATTTTTCTTAACCTTAGTTGCAGTTAGAAGAACCTATTGTGTACACGTGCTTCCAAACCATTGTCATAATTGCTCTATGAGTGAAAAAAAAAAAAGCCTCCAAATTGACCCTAGGAAATAGTTTACCTGTTTACATGCCACATGATGAGGCAGAATCACTGTCCTCTAGGGGGAGCGCTTAGCTAACAAACAGCCAGTAAAGCAAGAAGTACATAAGGCAGGATAAGCAGTAGTCGCTCTAAATAATGTCTCTCCCCAGGCACAAACACTTAATTAACTGAGCTAATAGCTCTTACAAGAGCACTTGAATTAAGCAAGGAAAGGCAACTAATATTTATACCTACTCCAGGTATGCTTTCTTAGCTCTCCATGCTCATGCTGCCATTTAAAACGAAGACCACCAATGGATCTCCTATAAAATATCACCACAAAACTAGCAGGTTATTTTCCTCAGTTTTCCTTCCACGAGAAATAGGAGGGTTGCATTGTAGGGGACATCAAAAGGGAACAAATAAAGTAGCCGAAGAAAATAGGTTAGCTGATCAGGCAGCTAAGTCAAAGGCAAGGAAGCCTCAGGGCATCAACATACTTCAGGCCCCTTCTAATTTAGGAAGGCTTCATAAGAGAAATTAAGCCCCAGTATTCCCCCGCAGAAATAAAATAGGCCACTTCTCAAGGGCATACTTTTCGGTTCTCAGTATGGTTACAGTCAGGATGGCTACAGTCAGGATGGCAAACTCTATTTGCCAGCCTCCAGCCAACGGAAAATCCTTAAAATCCTTTGCCAAGCTTTTCACTTGGGAAAGGACAAAAAACTTATCAATGTGCTCAGAGACTGTTTCAGGCAGGAAACTTCTCAATTGGTTAAGCATGTAAACTCTCTAGCTCACTTCCAATAGAAATTAACACAACCAGCAAGAACCAAATCCCAGGAAATAGAACCACCTTTATTTAACCCAGGAAATTTGGTATTGGTGAAAACTCTCAGCTGTCTCCTTCCCTATGTCAAGCTGGAAAAGGCCGTACACTGTTCTTCTTTCAACCCCCTCAGCAGTAAAGCTTACAGGAATCAACTCCTGGATACATCACACTCAAGTCAAAGCCTGAAGAGCTGAGGGAGCAACCCCTGACTGCTCAGAGGAGTGTCATAAATATCAGTGTGAAGAAATAGAGCATCGTAAGCTGAAAATCATAAAAGATAAGTAACTGAGTGAGGGCTACTCATCTTACTCAGTCCCTCTCCTACCTCACCAGATACTTTTTATTATTTCTAACCTTTCCTCTCAAAGTTCATCACCAGATACTAAAACTTCTTTTTAGTGCATATTTGCAGGGAGATTTTAATTATTCATAGAATCACACTTGTAACTTTGTACATCCCCAGAGGGAAATGTTATGTCTTGGCAAGTAAAGTTTTCAATGGAAATTATTTACTATGCCACTCTTGTGGGAATTGTTATAGTTATGCTACTTTTTGCAAAAGAACTATATACTGCAGCAACCACAATGTGGAATTCTGGTTGTAAAATTCTAATTTTTGTAATTTTTCCCTAATTATTATCCTTATCCTGCACATCCTGCACATATACCTCGGAACTTAAAAAAAAATTATTTAAAAAACCCATCAGAACAATATTTAAAATATTTAAGAATATGGGAAGTAGTAAATAGAGGTTCAAATGGTATAAGATCCTTGCATTTTCAGGGAAGTGCTTAATGTAATTGCATATGTTAGATTCTAATAAACAAAGACTGCGTGTTGTAATTTCTAGCATACCCATAAAAAACTAAACTTATGATCTAAAAGAGAAAAAGTAATAATATAAAATGATCCCACAATTAATAAAAGAAGGGATAAAAATCGGTTAAATAGAAAACAAATAGTTACATGGCCTGTTTAAATCCAGATATTCTAGTGATTACATTAAATATAAGTGGTTTAAATGCTCTAACTAAAGCACAAAGATTTTCAGACTACATTAATAAAATCTAAATATATGCTGCATATGAGAAATAAACCTTGGCTGAGCACAGTGGCTCACGCCTGTAATCCTAGCACTTTGGGTAGGCAAATTGCTTGAGCTCAGGAATTCGAAACCAGACTGGGCAAAATGGTGAAACCCTGCCTCTGCAAAAGAAATACAAAATTTAGCCAGGTGTGGTGGCACACGCCTGTAGTCCCAACTGCTTGGGGGCGCTGAGGCAGGAGGATCACTTGAACCCGGGAGGTTGAGTCTGCAGTGAGCCGAGATGGTGCCACCACACGGCAGCCTGGGTGATAAAGTGAGACCCTGTCTCAAAACAAAACAAAACAAAACAAAAAGAAAAAGAAAAAGAAAAGGAAAAAAAGACATAAACCTCAAATGTAAGGACACAGAAACAGAAAAAAAAAGAGTATAGAATAATATACTATCAAAATACTAACTAAAGGAAAGCAGAGGTTATCATATTAGTATCTGATAGAGTAGATCTTGAGACTAGAAGCATTATTAGAGAAAAAGAAGGTGATTTTATCAAGATAATAATGATAAATCAGAAATATATTCCAATTGTAAATGGGTATTGCCATAGGTAGATTTATGGTCCCTCAAAGCTATCTATGTCCTAAGTCCCCAAAAACTCATGCAAAAGGGACACTCAGTGGTGTGCTGTGTTGTTTGATAAACTGTGCATAGTATGCAGTACCCAAGCATGTTCAGTACTTGCTCAGATGTCCTGTTCTGTCTTCTTACAGAAATGTACTTCCTTTCACTTTTACTTTTCTTCACATCTGAAGCTGCTCCATTAGAAATGAAGCAAGATAGACAGATGTTTTGCTGATTGTATTAATTCTAACTCCAAACATTAAAATGCAGATATATAGTCAATAATATACTCTCTACCTAGGATTTATGTAGCACATTCATTTAAGAGGTACAAATTAGCATTTCTGAATGATGGCCATGCCCTATGTCCATAGTAGAAGCAGCCATAACCAAAGTCTATGTCTCAGACAATCAGATGTCTCATAGTGGACTCTGGTCATGTAAATCCCAGGACTAACCTGTGAACTGATGAAGCTCTTGGTTAAATTTAGAAAAGATTTGGCCTTGAGAGCTGAATTTGAAAACCAGGTCGTTGTGATGTAGGAAATTGTTCATTCGCTGGTAGATTTTGCCAAGGTTGAACACTGCTCTCAGGTATGAGCCCAGGGTACTGGAATAGGGAAGATGGAACATGTTAGTGGGTGACACAGTTATTGGTGAACAAGTACCTTCCTTTTGTCACTGACCTGTCCAACTGGATGCTTCCCTGGTGGCTGAAGACACACTTCACGACGCTGTCCACAGTCATCAGGGAGACATGTTGAAAGAGCTCCAGACATGAGTTCTGGGCAATGTGCTCCTCCCATTTGCTGTGGGGCAGGAGATGAATATCATGATCATACACATGCCCCTCTTTTCCCAATTTCTAAGTTATTTTATGTCCCTTTTAGAGCTTGTTGGGGTTTGAAAATACAAAGTGTACACAATGAATTTGCCGTATTATGCCAACCATATAAAAGAAAACACCTTGTCGGTACTGAAAATGAATATTGTGCCTTAGATGCTATTTGTGACTTTGTAAGGGTGCGGCAATGGTTTTTTTTTCTCTTTTTCCTAAGTTGCAGTACTACAATTTATATAACTTTTATAATGGAAAAACTAAGCTGACAAAACATGGAATAAAAAACAAGAATTCAAAAACATCCTTAGAGAGCATAAATAAACAGAGGTTTTTGATTCTAGGAAAAGATCCCTGAAATATTTAATACTTGACAAGTTTTTTTTCCCAGATCCAGTGATAATTTAGAGACGAATTAGATGGCGGGGCATGGTGGCTCACGCCTGTAATCCCAGCACTTTAGGAGGCGGAGACGGGCGGATCACGATGTCAGGAAATCGAGACTATTATGCTTAATTCGGTGAAACTCCGCCTCTACCAAAAATACAAAAAAATTAGCCAGGCGTAGTGGTGGGCGCCTGTAGTCCCAGCTATTCGAGAGGCTGAGGCAGGAAGATGGCGTGAACCCAGGAGGCGGAGCTGGCAGTGAGCCTAGATCAGGCCACTTCACTCCAGCCAGGGCGACAGAGCGAGACTTCGTCTCAAAAAAAAAAAAAAAAAAGAGACGTGTTAGAGATAATTCTTGTTCTCAAAGATTTTGCAGTTAAGAGTCAAGACCAAAAATCCTCACCTATAGAGTAGGATCCAGATGTGTTTATACCCTTGGACATACCTGCCAATATCCCAGAGAATTTCACTTTGTCAAAAGCCAAATGTTTATGGAAATGAAGTTCTCCATTTCAGTATAAATGTTTATGCACTGTTAAGCTGTTTTAATAACTCTGTAATGTGAATTAATTAAATAATTCAATTTGAAAGCTTTTTTCCAAACACTTTACTAAAATCAGATGTTCTGAAAGATTGCAATTGTCATGGAGCCAAGAAGAGTAGAGAAAGAGCAAGAGGTCAGTGATAATGGGGGTGGTGTCTGTTTGGATGTTGGTAAGGGCATTGCAAGGAGAGGCACTGGTTGGAGCGGGCTGAAGGGGGCATCGTCAGGAAGAAGCCTCAGACTCGAAGAGAGGTGCATCAGTTCAGGGTGTGCTCTTCCAACTCAAGGAGGCTTGAGTTTGAACCCAGCTCTTCCTCTAATCTGCCTTATGATCTTGTATTTTTAGTAGAGATGGGGTTTGGCCATGCTGACCACGCTGGTCTTGACCTCCTGGGCTCAAGCCATCCACCCACCTTGGCCTCCCAAAGTGCTGACATTACAGGCATGAGCCACTGCACCCGGCCTGCCTTGTGACCTTGAACAGACTGCTTAATCTCTGCATCTCAATATCCTTACTAACAAAATGGAGATAATATAGCAAAATTGTAAGAGTGTAGTAGTATAAGAGAATATAATAAGCCTGACACATAGTAAGTGCTTAAAAAGTATTGGCAGTCACTGTATTTATATGTTTTGCTTTGATTTTTATTTTGGAGTGGGACATGGGCATGGTGACGAGGGTCATAAAGGATAACAGCATGGCACGCTGGAAAGCATGGGGCAAGTATGAATCCAAGGTGAAGTGTTTAGGTGAACCCATATCTCTGAACTCCTGCATCATTAATAAGTCTTTGTGACTATGATTGGGATCCTGTGTGTAGAATTGCTTTACTCGGTGCCTGGGATCCTAGAAACTTAGTCTTTGAGTTGTCACAATCACCTCATTCAGGACCCCTGAAACAGACCTTAGCTGTGCTCAAAACCACCTGGCATGTCTGTGCCATCCAAACTCCAAGAAGGCAGGTGTGGAGACATACAACTGTGTCTTCTCTATGGGTTCTAGATAGTCTTGTGAAATCTCTGCACCCTCTTCTGTCTCAGCCAAAGCTAAAGCTCCCCTTTCTCCTTGACCACAAGGCAGTCTTTTCTCTGACCCTCTGTCTCTAGAAATCCTGCCCATTCTCCAAGACTAAGCTCCTGCCACCTTTCTTAGGAAGTCTTTCCTGACTTGACCTCCTGAACGTGATACACTTCTGTATGTCGGGATGGCTACTCCTATTGTTGTCTTTGCTCTTCGGCCTTGTGTTCTCCAAATGTAGTGAGTCTACTGGACTCACCCATTCATTCATTCAACTACTTCTCATTGAGCACCTACCCTGAGTCCATCCCTGTGAGAAGTGTTGGGTATATAAGACTGGGTCCTTGCCCTGATGATGATGGTCATGGTCTAAACATCAAATAACCCCACATAAACTGCTGTGAACATGGTTCAGAGGGAACTCAGAGTCTCTCTCGCCATATGGCTGGCAGCACCTCACTTCAGAGGCCAGGAAGGAATGCTGTCTTCTCCTCTTACCAGCATCACCCATACACTCTCAGATATCATGGTGATGAATATTTTCAGAATGCTGATGTTGAAGCCAGGTTTCACAATTTGGTGGTGCTTTTTCCATTTAGAACCATCCAGGGTCACAAGTCCTTGACCTTATGAAATGAGAGGGGCAAATGTTTCTATCACAGGCCAGGTAAGTGAAGAAAGACTAGGCACACAGGGTGCAATTCCCTATCTATGACACTGGAGAGAAGCTAGAGTGGACAGAGCTCTGAAAGAGTGAATGAGCAGGAGTAGACCTAACCCTTTGGGAATTAAGTTCAAATCAGAAAATTTGTTTATGCAATGAACTCAAAAAAAGGTCCATCCTATCCTATTTGATGGTCAGATTCATCAGCCTCTGGATAAGAGTTCAAATTTAGGGTGGGTGAGAATTACCTGAGGTGCTTCATAGAGGCAGATTCCTTGGCTTAATCCTTCAGAGCCAGCAATTCCTAGGTGTTGAGGTAGAATCAAGGACTTTTGAGTTATAACAAGGGTCCCAGCTAGTTCAGGTCCACACTTTGAGAAATACTGCCTTAGACTGGCACAAAGTTACAGACTGAAGCAGAGGTGCTGCTTTCTTTCCATAACTTTTGTGCTTCTCTTCAGGCTGAGGATCAATGATGGAGGACTAAAGGGGCTTTTCTTTATCATTCCTGCTGGGAAAGTGGGTTTGAGATTTCCACTGAGTTCATAAAAGACTTAGTTTAGGAGAGTGGGTTCTTTCAAAGGGATCCTCAAGAGCAAGATTTTCCAGGGACAATTAGTTTGGGAAAACTGATAATGAAATTTGTGGTGAATAATATTAAAATCTCTGTAGGGTGGAAAATCTAAGGAGAGGGAGAGAAGGCACCCATGCACATTTGATTCAGGGATCTGGGGCTACTACCCGGATCCTGAATCTCCTGGTGTGAACTTGCTTAGCTGCAAAGGCAGGTTGCCCAGAAAAGGGAGGGGAAGTGTGGTGGGAAAAGGAGAAAGAATGATCTTAAGCAACTTTCACAATGGCAACCTCTTCCAGGGCACCATTCTCAATAAGGTCCATGCTAGCAGGCTGAGGGACTCTCCTTCTTTTTCCATGATCTTCAAGTGGCGACTACCTGGGATAGTGACATCAGTTGGTTTGAGGCAGAGAGAATATGACCTCCAGGCCCCTTCTTATTCCTCCACCCCTACCCCTAGCTACACCAGAAATAAAGGACCAGTCCCAAACATGTAGAATAAGAGGAGACGCTATGAAGGACAAGGCAGGATTGAGCTCAGGCTTCTGAAGCAAAAGTGAGTGTAGGTTGTGGTAAGGTGGGGGAGATAGGAGCATTTAGTGTCTATCAGGAAAGTAATCTCTCCCCACACCTCTACCTCCACCAGGCTCAGATGAGAAAGGATCAGACACACATACTGATGTGGTTTGGCTCTGAGTCTCCACCTCAGTCTTACATCAAATTGTAATCCTCAGTGTTGGAGGGGAGGCCTGGTGGAAGGTGACAGAGTCATGGGGGTGGACTTTCCCCTTACTGTTCTTGTGATAGAATTCTCCCTAGGTCTGCTTGTTTATAAGAGTGTAACAGTCTCCCCCCATACTCCTGGTGGCGATGTGAAGGTGTGCCTGCTTTTCCTTTGCCTTCCACCACAACTGTAAGTTTCCTGCGACCTCCCAAGAAGCAGAAGCCTGTATAGCCAATAGAAGCATGAGTCGGTTAAGCCTCTTTTCATTATAAGTTACCCAGTCTCAGCTATATCTTTATAGCAGTATGAGAGTGGACTAATACACATACCAACCCAGGATTCAAGGATTTTGTGGATAATTGTGCTTTTGGGATCTGTAAAACAGAACAAAGGAGGCAAAAAATGGCATTAGGTGAAAATCACGAGTTAAAATGAGAGGTAACTTTTGTACGTTTCCATATTTCTTGGGAGTAACACAAATAGCTAGTGTGCAAGGTGGTTGGAGGCTAGTTTTTCAGCCCTTAGAATCCCAGGGAAGCCACAGAAGTAGAATGAGAACTTATTTATTCTTTCTCCACAGCACTTGGTGCTACAAGGTCAATAGCAGTGGAAAACAAAGTATAATTTTCTTTGTGGAAATTGAAATGACCCCATGATGTAAGTTGAAAAAACACATTTGTTTTTGTTGGGGAACTCTCTGACAACATTTTAAAGCTTCAATTTCTTTTGACACAGACATGTAAAGCTAGACACAGGAACATGACTTTGAGATAAATTGTAGATTTTACCCTTGTTGGATTTGTTTGAGAAAGATGTATATAAATGAATCAGAAGAAAAGGTAAGGGACATAACCTTGGTTTTACAGTTTTTGGAAAACAAGAATTAGTATCCTTCATTCATGCCATCAATGTCTTTATGTGGGATAAAGACAGGGAAGTAAAAATGGGGGAGAAAACATATGAACATCTAGGAAAAGAGAGGACTGTTAATATGAGATTCACTTTCTGCAGAAGTCCAGGTGAAATGAACCTGTAAAATACCTTGAGTTCTAAGGGTAGGAAGATACCTTACGGCATTCATTCTCTCAGGCCCTAGGGTATTCTCTCTGTCTTTCTCTCTGTTCATAGACTTCAATATAAAACAACTGCCCTCTAGGCATTTCCCTTTGTGTACCACACAGACACCTCAGGGCCCCAGCAAATCCAAACCTGATCTATCCCTTCAACACCAGATAGCCTCCTCTTCCTCTATCCACTTAAAGACATGACTATATTCCCTATTCCCTGTCAAAAGTTGGGACCCCTTCTTAACTAATTCCTCATTCTCATCCTCCAAATCTACTTGTTGGAAGATAATTCTGGCATTTCTTCGGAAACGGTTAAAAGAGACTGATAGAATTGTTAAGGATGTTTCCAAAACTATTTTGGGAAGAATGTATGTATGTTTACATTTAGGGCTAATAAGCATGAGCCTTTCTACTCTAGACATTCCAGGGTCCTAAAAAATAATGTCTAGGAGTGACATCAGCAAAAATGCTAGATTAGGAACTGTCCAGGGCCATCCCTCCCCAAAGCAAAAACAAAAATTATCTGGCAAAAAAACTGTTATAGTCAACTTTAGCAGAATTCTGGAAGACAGTTAGTTGTTTACAGCAACCAAGTGAGCACTTAATCAGAAGAAAGGCCACTGAAAAAGAATAGAAAAGATTAATGGCATTGTAATTTAGCCTTGCCCCACATCCCTCTCCAGTGCCATGGCAATCTTGAAGATGGCAGCTTGCATTCTCAAGGGGTTCTGATTCCTGGATCCTAGAGAAAGCAGAGTGGTCTTTGTTCTCAAGGAATTTTGTTTGTTTTGACCTCTGTGTGGGTTTTCTAAAGGACTGGGGCTTGCCTATGTTTTACCTAACTCAGAATTCTCTCAGGGCAGGGAAGTGTTCCTCAAAAACATTGAGAAGCAAAAGAACTATCACTGCTTCCTGGGACAAAAAAGAATAATTGAGGCAATAATAAACACACTGAAACCTAGAAGGAAAAGCCAGGAATGGGAATTTTTTTTGGAATCAACACTTTAAGATGTTCTCACATATAACAGGGTACCTACACATACACAGGGTAGACTGCATGCTTGGAAAAGACATGATAAGACCATAGGCTTTTAACTCTGACTAGTCCTTACACAAAGTGCAAGAAGAAAGAGAAAGCTAAAAAGGCAAACTTGTAAATGCCCTGATTAAATACTAAAGGTGTGCCCCAACACAGAACCAACCAGGAAAGACCTGGAGAATATTTTTATTTTCTTTTCTACTTTTTTTCTTTTATTCCTTTTTTTCTTACATGACATTTGAAATGTTCGGTTTTAAACAAAAAAAATTGCAAAGCATATAAAAGAAACAAAGGATGTATGACTTATGCACAAGAAAAATAAATGAAAAGAAACTGTTATTGAGGAAGCGTAGATGTTGGACTTACTAGACAACTTTAAATCAACTGTCTTAAATATGCTCAAAGACCTAAAATAAACCACGGCCAAAGATGAAACAAAACCAAAATACTGATGTATGAACAATAGAGAATATTAACAAAGACATAGAAGTTGTGAACAGAAACAAATAAAGTTCCGGAACTAGAGTATACAGTAACTGAAACAAAAAGTTTATAAGGTTTCAGCAGTTGATTTGAGCAGGGAGAGAAAAAATTAGCAGTTGGAGATAGGTCAATTGAGATTGTTGAATCTGAGGAGCAGAAATAGAAAACAGAATGAAAAAAATGAATGGTCCTAAGAGACCTGTGGGATACCCTCAAGCATACTAACATATGCATAATTGAAGTCCCAAAAGAGAGAAGAGAGAGAACTAACATTGAAGAAATAATGACTGAAAATATCCAAAATTTGAGGAAAGACATGAATCTATAGGAAAAGAAGCCCAATGAACTACAAGCAGGATAAACTCAAAGAGATTCACCCTGAGACACATTAGAATCAATTTGTTGAAAGCCAAAGATAAAGAGAAAATCTGGAAAGCAGGAACAGAGAAGGTGACTCATCTCATACAAGAGATCTTCAATAAAATTAACAGCCTATTTCTAATCAGAAACCATGGAGGTCAGAAGGCAGTGAGATGAAATATTCAAACTGCTGAAAGGAAAAAAAGCCAACTAGGAATTATATATTTAGCCAAATGATCCTTCAAGAATGAAAGAGAAATTATGACATTCCCTATAAACAAAAATTGAGAGGGTTTGTTTTTAATAGGCCTACTCCACAAGAAGTGCTAAAGTGGGCCTTTCAGGCTGAAATGAAAGATCACTAAGCAGTAACTCAGAGCCATGTAAAAAAATGAACACTGGTGAGGGTAACTACATAGGTAAACATAAAAGTCAGTATTATTGTATCTTTGGTTTTTAACTCCTCTTTTTGCTTACATGGTATACATACACATGCATAAAACAACAGTTATAAATCTATGTTATGGGCACACAATGTATAAAGATGCAATCTGTGACAATAACAATATATAGAGATGGAGATGTATAGGATGAGAATTTTTGGATACTATTGAGCTAAATTTGTATTAATTTAAACCAAGTTGATATAGCTTTAAGATATTAATTGTAATCCCACATTAACCACTATGAAAATAACTAAAAATATATAGATAAGGAAATGAGAAGAGTAACATAAAAATGTCACCATACGAAAAAACAAAAATTAATTAAACACCAAAGTAGGCAGTAATGGAGGAAGTGAGGAACATAAAATATATATGACAGGCTGAGCACAGTGGTGATACTTGTAGTCTCAGCACTTTGGGAGACGGATGGGGAAGCATTGTTTGAAGCCAGAAGTTTGAGACCAGCCTGAACAACATAGTGAGACCCTTGTCTATACAAAAGAAAAAATTATCCAGGCATGGTGGTGCAGGCCTATAGTCCCAACTACTCAGGAGGCTGAAGTGGGAGAATTACTTGAGCCCAAGAGCTAGAGGATGCAGTGAGCTATGATGGCACCACTGCACCCTACCCTAGGTGACAGAGCAAGATGCTATCTCTAAAAAAAGGTATAAGACATATAAAAAACCAACAGTGAAATGTCAGAAATAAGTGCTTCCTTATTAGTAATTATTTTAAATGTAACTGGGTTAAACTATTCAATTAAAAGGCAGAGATTGGCAGAATGGACTAAAAAATGGGATCCACTAATATGCTGCTTACAAGAGACTCACTTTAGCTCTGAAGAAACAAAGAGATTAAAAGTGAAAGGGTAGAAAAGGTGTTCTATGCAAACAGTAAGGAAAAGAGAGCAGGGTGATTATCAGTTAAATATACTTTAAAATATTGTGACATAAAGAAAGACATTATGTATTGTTAACAAGTCAATCCATCAAGAAGATATAACAGTTATAAATATATACATATATACCTAACAATAGAACCCCACAGTATATGAGGCAAGCTGACAGCATTTAAGGGAGAAATAGACAGTTCTAACATTATAACTGGAGAATTCACTACATCCCTTTCAATAATGGACAGAACAATACAAAAAATTAATAAGGAAATAGAGAACTTGAACAACACTATAATTATGCCAAGCAGACATGTTCTAAATGCTCCACCTAACAACAGCAGATTACATGTTCTTCTCAGGAGCGCATGGGTCATTTTTCAGCATAGATCATATGGTAAGTCACAAAAAAAGTCTCAATAAGTTTAAAAAGATTGAAATCATACAAAAATACCTCTCCATAGAATAAAAGTAGAAATAGAATAAAACTAGAAATCAGTATCAGAAGTGAAACATGAAAATTCACAGAACATGAATATTAAACAAGACATGCTTAAACAACCAAAGGGACAAGGAATAAATCATAAGAGACATTAGAAAATATTTCAAGGCAAATGAAAATGAAAACAATATACCCAATGTTATGGAAGTCAGCAAAAGCAGTGCTTAATGAGATTTTTATAGCTTAAATATCTTCATTTAAAAAATAAAGTCCTTAAATCAATACCCTAACTGTATACTTTAATGAACTGGAAAAAGAAGGGCAAATGAAACCCAAAACTACTGAAGGAAAGAAATAATAAAGATTACAGCTGAGATGAATAAAATAAAAACAGGAAAACAACAGAAAAAAATCAACAAATAAAAATTATTTCTTTGAGAAGATTAACAAAATTGACAAAACTTTAATTAAATTATCAAGAAAAGTGAGAAGAATCAAGTTACTACAATCAGAAATGAAAGTAGGGACATTACTATCAACTTATTATTACAGATAATAAAAGGATTATAAGAGGACACTATGGACTACTCCCTTGGACTCCATGGTTGTCTGTTAGTGGGAGATCCTTGTTGCTGTCCCTTCACCTCCTTCAACCTTGCAGAACCTCACAAGTCCCTGTCATATGTGAGTGCAGCTCCACGTTGGCTAGGCTGATGTCCAGATTGGCAGTTCCTGCTAGGATCTCTACTGCCTGGAACATGGCCTCTAGCCTGATGGCAAGGCCAAGAGACAAGACTATTGTGGGAAGAAATGACTCCTTCAGTACCTTCTTCAGTGAGGCAGGTGCTGACAACCATGTGACTAGGGCAGTGTTTGTAGATGTTGAACCTGGAGTCATTGACAAAGTTCACACTGGCACCTACTGCCAGTTCTTCCACCCTGGGCAGCTCATCACAGGCAAGGAAGATGCTGCCTATAACTATACTTGAGGGCACTATTGCATAGGCAAGGGGATTATACTGACCTCATCTTGGACTGAATTTGCAAGATGGTTGACTAGTGCACAGGTCTTCAGAATTTCTTGGTTTTTTACTGCTTTGGTGAGGGGACTTATTCTCGGTTCACTTCTCTGCTGGTGGAATGTTCTTTCTGTTGATTATGGCAAGAAGTCCAAGTTGGAGTTCTCCACATACCCAACCCCCCATTATTTCCACAGCTATACTTGTATAATTCTATCTTCATCTCCCACATCACCCTGTGGCACTCTGATTATGCCTTCGTGGCAGATAATGAGGCCATCTATGACATCTGTGGAGAAACCTTAATATTGAGTGCCCAACCTACACTAGCTTTAACTAGGCAGACTGTGTCCTCCATCATTGCTTCCCTCAGATTTGATGGAGCCCTGAATGTTAATCTGACAGAAGTCTAGACCAAACTGGTGCACTGCCTCTGCATCCACTTCCCTGTGACCACATATGCCCTCATCATCTCTGCTGAGAAAGCCTATCACGAACAACTTGCTGTAGCAAAGATCACCAATGCTTGCTTTGAGCCAGCCAACCAGATAGTGAAATGTGACTCTTGCCATGGTAAATACATGGCTTGTTGCCTGTTGTACCATTGGTACATGGTCCCCAAAGATGTCAATGCTGCCATCACCACCATCAAGACCAAGCCTACTATCCAGTTTGTGGATTGGTATCCCACTGGTTTTAAGGTTGGTATTAATTACCAGCCTCCCCGTGAGGTATCTGGGGGAGACCTGGTCAATGTATAGAGGGCTGTGTGCATGCTGAGCAACACCACAGCAGTTGCTGAGGCCTGGGCTTGCCTGGACCACACATTTGACCTGATGTATGATAAGCATGCCTCTGTTCACTGGTATATGAATGAGTGGCTAGAGGAAGGAGGGGACATGGCTGCCCTTAAGAAGGATTATGAGGAGGTTGAAGCAGATAGCACAGAGGGAGAGGATGAGGGTGAAGAATATTAACCCTTTTCCTACAATTTTATACTCTGTTGTCTTGAGACTGTCCTATTTCTGTTCAGTGAAACTGTCTGTTCATTGTGGCCCTAAACTGTCAATAAAAGTGATGTTTCCATGTTAAATGTCAATAAAGAGGATACTATGAACAATTGTATGCTGACGAATTGTGTAACCTAGATGAATTGGACAAATTCTTGAAAGCACAAGAACTACCAAACTGACTCAAGAACAAGTAGAAAATCTGAATGGACCTATAGCTGGTAAGGTAAAGAGAATGAACTAGCAATCAAAAATCGCTAATAAAGAAAAGCACAGGACCTGAGCGCTTTGCTGATGAATTCTACCACACATTTAAAGATAAATTAGGGCCAATACTTCTAAAACTCTTCTAAAAAACAGAAGAAGGAGAGAAGGAGCACTTCCTAACTCCTTCTATGATGCCAGCATTACCCTGATGCCTAAGCCAGACAAAATAATACAAAAAAAGAAAAGTATAGCCCAATATTCCTTATGAATACAGATTAAAAAATTCTTCAAAAAATACTAGCAAATGGAGTCCAGCAGGATATTAGGCAATTTTACATAATGACCAAGTGGGATTTATTCCAGGAATGCAAGAGCACTTTAATAGAATGAAGAAAAAAACCACATGATGATCTCAGTTGTTACAGGAAAAATATTTTACAAAACACAACACCCTTTCATGATAAAAAACACTCAGTAAACTTGGATTACAGAGAAAGTTTCTCGACATGCTAAAAGGCATATATGAAAAACTTACAGTTAGTATTACACTGAGTGGTGCAAGACTCAAATCTTTCCCCCTAAGATCATGACAGAGACATCTACTTTCACAACTTACATTCAACACTGTAACAGAAGTTCTGGCTAGAGCAATTGGGCAATGAAAAGGAAAAAAGCCATCCAAATTGGAAGGAGAAAAACTACAGTTATCTGTATTCACAAATTACATGATCTTAAATATAGAAAATCCTAAAAAATCTGCAAGAAAACTGTCAGAGCTAATAAACAAATTCAGAAACTTTGCAGCATACAAAATCAACACACCAAAATCAGTTGTATTTCTGTACACTAGCAATGAACAGTCTGAAAAGAAAGTTTAAAAAACTCTATTTACAATAGCATCAAAACATAAAATACTTAAGAATAAATTTAACAAACGAAACAAAAGACTTGTATACTGAAAACTAAAAAACACTGCTGAAAGAAATTAAAGAAAACGTACATAAGAAAAAAGACATCCATGTTAATAAATTGAAAGACAATACTGTGCAGATGACAATACTCTCCAAGTTGATCTGCAGATTCAATGGAATCCCTGTGAAAATCACATTGGCCTTCTTTGCAGAAATGGAAAAGCCAATTCTAACATTTCTATGATATTTTAAGGGAAACAAAACAGTCAAAACCACCTTGAAAAAGAACAGCAAAGCTGGAGAACTCATACATCTTGATTTCAAACTTACTGCAAAGTTATAGTCACCAAAACAATGTGGTACTGGCATTAAGTGTAGATATCAGAGTCCAAAAATAAACCCATACATCTGTTGTCAATTCATTTTCAACAAGGATGCAAAGGTGGTGATTCTGGCAGAGTGACCTGTGACATGAGAGAGCCATAGGCTGCTTGAAATTTTGCAGAAGCATGAAGAGAGTTGTGGAGGCATTTTATAACTGAGTGAGCCATCTAGGTAGCTGGGAGAATGAGGCAAAGGTCAGCCTTACATGCCAACAGGCAGTTGAGGAAAGCCCAGTAGGGGAATCCTACATACATCTTGCCACGGCCAAGAAGCAGCTTTGCAATTCCATGGAATTCCCACACTAGGGACCTGATGGAGAACTGGTGTCCACTTGCCAGAGCCTCCACCTGGCACTGGCCATTCCCAGAGGACAGGCATCATTGATGGGCAAAGCATCTATGGTGAACACTCATCTCTGTGCAACACTGGCATTAAGCCAATTGTAAGCAAACCACCTCTGCATCCCCAACCCACTGTATGTTCACAGTGGTGGTAAGTGGTAGTCCTGGGGGTCTGAGGTAAGTAAATGTGATGGAAGCATCAGAAAAATTTTCGATGTAGGGAGAGACGGTTGCTTGGAAATGGATCAGAGAATTCTCTACAACAGCCCTCAATAGAGTCCTGACTATGATGTCAAGGAGGACATGGAATCTTTCCTTCTACGTATCAAATGATGGATTTCCCTTAAAAATGCTTCAAGCTGTCCTTCCCTAATGCAATAGACACCCTGAGACTCTTTTGTTGCTGCTCTGTACTGGAAGCCCCTCTTGGTTTTTACCTTGTCTTTTCAGGAGAATCTTGGCATAGTTTGGGTCATGGACACTGAAGAACATCGTAAAGGGTCCAACCCACAAGGGAGCGGCACATGGGTATTTTTCCATCAGTTCATGATACACCTCAAACTCCTGTACTGGGTAAAACTGTCATAAGATAAGTCATGACTGGTTAGTAAATGTTGTCACCCCAGGAGAACCCCTTTCCCTTAGATGGACCATGTGCTAAGTTGAGGGCCTGTGGACACCACCCCATCAGACAGGTTCACAATTGCTGAAGGCATTGTTTTTTTCTCCATGTGTCTCCAGCACCTCCACAGAAACTTCCTGGCACAGGGCAAGTACTCAGGACCTGTTGCTGAGTGATTGGTCTTCTCACTCCAGCGTCAGCTTTGGAGATTTAAGTTCAAATCCCAATCTGACACTTATTCATTATCTAGGTCATCAGGGCCATGATTTCCTCACATGTATAATAGGAAGACCAAATATATTTCACAAAGCTGCCGTGAAAATTAAGTGAGATTATAAACATAAAATTCCTGGCACAAGGTAAACCCTTAGTCACCACCGATTCCCTACCTCGTCTTTGCTCTGGATATGCCCACTCATGCTTTATCTGCCTCCAAAGCAGCAAAGTCCCACATGCCTTTTACTAATTTGTGGTTGCTGCTCATCTTTCTACTTTTCTTTCTAATTTGCTACATGTTTTCCTATTTCCAGCTTCATTAGAAGCTGTAGCATCTTTGTATATTTCCTGTTAACAGTTGGCTTGAGGCCGGGCGAGGTGGCTCAAGCCTGTAATCCCAGCACTTTGGGAGGCCGAGACGGGCGGATCACAAGGTCAGGAGATCGAGACCATCCTGGCGAACACGGTGAAACCCCCTAAAAATACATAAAAAACTAGCCGAGCGAGGTGGCGGGCGCCTGTAGTCCCAGCTACTCGGGAGGCTGAGCCAGGAGAATGGCGTGAACCCAGGAGGCGGAGCTTGCAGTGAGCTGAGATCCGGCCACTGCACTCCAGCCTGGGCGACAGAGCGAGCCTCTGTCTCAAAACAAAACAAAACAAAACAAAACAAAACAAAACAAAAAAAACAGTTGGCTTGGTCTATTTCTCTGTAGAACACCCAGAGTCCTGAAAGTAGTAAAGACTTTGGCCTTCAATCAGAAGACCAGGGTTCAAGTTTCATTTCTGTCATTTATGAGGTGGGTAGCACAGGAAAGTTGCATCTCTATTTTTGGCTTCAGTTTTCTTACCTGTAAAATAGGAATAACAATATCTTTCTTCTTCATATCATAGAATTTTTGTAAAAATCAAAATGAGATTGGTGTGAAAGCATTTTGCATATTACATAATGACCCACCAGCCTGTGCTGTTTTTTTTTGTTTGTTTGTTTTTTAAAAATACCTCATGTTTCTGTCCCTTAACCTCCCCAACAAATTTTCTCATCTTACCCCCCTGTGGCCATAGAACCAGGTGCAGGAAACTGGTGCAGGGCTCTGATCATCCATCTCCTCCTCTGGTACAACCTGATTACCTGAAAGAGCAGCAGAGACATGCAGAAGAGGAACAGCAGCAAGAGGGGGTGAGCCATGAGTTCCTGAAGCCAGGAGGGCTCCATTCTTCTCAGAGGTCCTGAGCTCTAGAGAACCTGAGAGAACAGAGCCAGGGAGAATGCAGGTCTCTCATAAATACAAAGGAGATGCCCCCTGGGCAACACTGGGCTTTCAAAATGAAAGGGACATAAGGAAGAGGAAGTCTAATTAAGCCTGCAGGGTGAAAACTGCTAAGATGTTGACCAGAAGAACTAGATTTTCAGATAGGAGCCGTGTGCATGACACCTCATATCCATATGAAAGTTTTGAGGCACTGCTGTGCCCTTCCAGAATCTAAAAGTTCCCATCTGGTCATCCTTTGTAGCACCTCTATACATTCTTGTAAAAAATCTCCCTCTCTCTCATTCTCTGTTCTTTTTTGTTTATGTTTTTGATAGAATTTATTTTATTAGAGAAGTTTCAGGTTCACAGAAAAATTAAGCAGAAAGTTCAGGGAGTTCCCATATATCACCCCTCCCTTCCAGCTTCCCTGATTATCAACATCTTCCACCAGAGTATAACACTTTTACATTTAACGAACCAACAATGACACATCATTGTTGTCATGCGGGTCCATGTGAAGAGACCACCAAACAGGCTTTGTGTGAGCAATAAAGCTTTTTAATTCACCTGGGTGCAGGCGGGCTGAGTCAGAAAAGAGAGTCAGCAAAGGGAGATAAGGGTGGAGCTGTTTTATAGGATTTAGGTAGGTAAAGGAAAATTACAGTCAAAGGGGAGTTGTTCTCTGGCCGGCAGGAGTGGGGGTTACAAGGTGTTCAGTGGGGGAGCTTTTTGAGCCAGGATGAGCCAGGAAAAGGAATTTCACAAGCTAATGTCATCGCTTAAGGCAAAGACCGGCCATTTTCACTTCTGTTGTGGTGGAATGTCATCAGTTAAGGTGGGGCAGGGCATTTTCACTTCTTTTGTGATTCTTCAGTTACTTCAGGCCATCTGGGCTTATACCTGCAAGTCACAGGGGATGCGATGGCTTGGCTTGGGCTCAGAGGCCTGACAATTGTCACCCAAAATCTGTAGTTTACATTATGGATCACTCTTTGGTGTTTTATATTCTATGGGTTTTGTCAAATATATAATGACATATATCCACCGTTGTGGTACCATATCGTTTCCCTTTCCTAAAAAATCCTCTGTGCTCTGTGTTTTGATTTAATTTAATGTAACTTAATTTAGGAGAGCTAAGTAATTAAACATGAGGCCAAAGTACATAAGAAAGTGGCAGTCTTTTATTGCAAATATGCATACACTCTCGGGCGAAGTTCTCTGGTCCTCGGGTGTGGGGGGCCAAGGAAGTCGCGC